CGACTTAGCCGGCACTTCATCCACTCAACCGCGCGATCAACGAGAACCTGCAGCTTCTGGCGCTTCGCGAGACCAACATACACCCCAACCGTCGTTTCAGCATTCTAATGAGCGATCATCACTCGCCTACGTACACCAAGAAACAGATATGATGGAAGAATTGTTAAAGCAGAAAGGAGATAACTCGACATTAAGTGCTATTCTTGGCTGTATTTATGGTCAATGTCTTGGTGACGCTTATGGACTAGCAACCGAGTTTGAAAGTAAAGAGTCTGTCGCTCGTATGTATCCTCGTCAAACCGCCATTCCATTCCCAAATTATGTTCGCACAGCAAATTCGTCGAATTGGCGTAAAGGCGATTGGTCAGATGACAGTGACCAAATGATATTAATCATGGAAACACTTATCGAAAAACACAGTGCAGACGAACTGACGTTTGCTAGGAAACTGTCAAAGTGGATAAGGCAGGGTTTTCCAGACCTAGGAGACAAAGGTGGCACGGGCTTAGGACATAATGTCCGATTAGTATCACTTCACAATGACTTTTTACTTGATCCACATAAAGCCAGTAGAGAAGTATGGGAGAGCACAAACAAACAAGTTGCTCCGAATGGAGCAGTGATGCGATGTTCTGTGTTAGGTAGGACCTAGTTTGATCGTCAAAATAAAGTTGACGAGCTTGATTCAAACTAGAATTATTTCGCTTTTGTTTGCTCTAGGTATATATGAATACCAAGAGACTGATAGAGTTATTGAAAATACTGCAAAAATAGCTAAAGTAACTCATTTTGATCCGAGATGTGTTGCATCGTGTGTAGCCGTCAATCTCTGTATTGCCTACATATTACAGAAAAAGTTTGATGTTACCACGGTCGATGGCGTTGAAGCATTGATTAACGCGGTTAAAGAAAAAACATTAGAATCAGTTCAAATGCCTGGTGGACATATTCAAGAGTTTAAATTTTATACCAGTAAATGTTCGCTGACAGACATGGAACTAGACGAGAGACAATCGATTGGTTATACGTACAAGTGCATGGGCGCAGGGTTTTATGGTTTGCGTTCCGAAAAGTCGTTTAAAGAAACACTGAATGAATTGATTCATGAAGGTGGAGATGCGGATACGAACGGT